AAGCATACAAGCCTGAGTGAATTATTTCGTGGCACTAGGTCAAACACGTGAGAAGATTTAGAAGCAACACGGCGGAATGTTTGTTGGATTTATGAACACAGTTTTAGTGATCGCATTTCTAATCCAAATGAATGTAAATCTTTCCCAATTCTGAAGGTCGGAAGATTTTGATATCAAAGGTAAAAGAAAATGTAGAGCGTTGTTACACTCAGATTCAATAAAAATCAGATGTTAAAAATACTTTGCGAAGCTTAAACCATAGATTTTGGTGCACCTCAGTTGGTCCAAACAATCTGAATATCCTCCACATTGTAATTCATTATTTCTTGTCTTGCCACGAGCAATCTCAAAGTCACTGCAACCGCTGTCTTGTTGAATTCAAGTAGTTCACATTTGTGGAGCAACAAAACCAGTCTGGTAATCAGCCGCAGCTCAACCTATTTAAAAAGAAGAAAATTAAAAAAAGTAATCTGTCGAAAAGACCGAGCTCTATACTTACAATATTGTGCGAAATTAAATCAAAACATTTAACGTTATATCTTAAGAAAGTGAAAAGCCTGTGGGTTGAAACATTTACAGCTGTTCCAAAAATGGACTCAAAACTACGGTCTAGATTTCAAGTCATTAACTAACTGCTCAGTGAGAAGTCTGTATCGGATTTTATACAATGGACACAAACAAAATTTCCCCAGTGGCACTTTTCAAAAATGACGTAAATGGCAACAAAACCATATTTGTACGTACATTTTGATTGATAATTGGGGTTTTTATTAAGTGTAATAGTGTAATAGTGTTGTTCTTGCAAATAAAAAATGAATTATCTACATTCCATTTGGGTTCTAAACCAAGTGTTTTTATTCAGTCAATAAGTAATGTGAGGAACTGGATCGGATAAATACTCATCCATTAACTCATGTTTCATTTGAAATCCTTTTGGTTACCCTTTCATAGCACAAAATATGCCACGCAACAACGTGTTTCATTCCCTATTTTCTATTGAGCATACAACTTCTCACTTTCGTAAACAGGATCAAGGCTGTCTGGGAAGTAAAAAAGAAAGAAGGCAGCGGAGCGGCTCGAACCCCGGGGCCTTCTGGTTTGGTATTTTGATGGTCCTAATCAGCCGACCACCACCGAAAAAAATTGAAGTAATCGAGCGTCGGGCTCTTCACACAACTACTGTCCAACCAATGTAGCCTTCCAATTTATCTCTTTCTGAATCTTCTATCATGTTGTAGTATCATAAAAGAGTTCGGCAATCAATGTGCATATGTGAACAAAAATGCAGAGCATAAACCTATGGAGGGAATTAAACTCTGTTGTAGGTTCTTTCCGTTACGTTGCGTTTAACGGTGTTACTGACACTAAGATCATTCCTTAAATTCAAAATTCTTTTGGTTTGCGACAAAGAGGGGTAATACTCAGCATAGCGTGTGCAATACATCAATCAAAAGATAATCTTAGGGCAATTATACTATGGGTTGAACATACTACAACATTTCTTTAAATGGAAGGACCAAAGCCAATACCTTTTTGCAAAATATTGCGGGATTCGCTTCTTCCTCGGAAGTGAGGCTTCCAAATTTCTTGGTGTACACTATGGCTGAATGATTGGTAAGGTGAGAGCGCAACGGAAATCATTACATTTAGAAAAATGACATGCCGTTTTTGAACGTCACCTTAAAAAACGATTACGAAAATGATAATGCAGAAGTCTTACTATTGAAACTATTTATAGAATATTCGATGTTAATCACTTAGATAAAAGGAATATTTGTTTTTCACTGTTTTTCACTGTGACATAACAATATGATACGGGACTTAAAAAGTAAACTAGTCGCGTTCAGCTTACTGATCAGTTCCTCCCTCGTGCCCACTGCAAAGAAAATTCGGTTAGGAAAGAATAATTTAATTATTGAAATCGTTAGGCTGATATAGACTGTGTGTATTTTAGCTGAGAAAAAGTAAATGAATGACGTGGAATGAAATGGAAAAAGCGTATTCGTTGTATTGTTACAAATCCAAAAGACCAAATGCCAAATGCGTATGGCCACACCGACATCGGTAACTAGTAAATCCCGTTGAACAGAAAGACACGTAATCGGCGGCAGTTGGTTCGTGGTTTTATGAAAGAATCTTCATTTGTATTTATATTTTGTTTTTCTTAACTACCTTTTATTGAATGCACGATACACTTTTCAGGAAGTGCTGTTATTCAACACACAATTAGGGGAAGTCAGGCGTCGGTGGCGGTGTTTGAACACACGTCCTCCAGGGTGATCATTTGGTGACATTCCCAACAAAGGGTTTGCCAGACGGACTGTATTTTCTGATTTTATAATATTATTAGCTCTTGGATATCCTGTTCACTTTTAAATGCCATGAGAATCCACTAAATATGTTCGCATACTATTCACGTTGTGAGTAGTACCTCAAAACTAATACAATTTCGCGACTCTGTTACTGTGAGGAACGATTGGCTTTTCTTCATATATCACACAGATAACCGTTGTCAGTTGTTTTTTCTGCCCCGGTGGAAGTACAGTTTACAAATCTGCAAGTTACGTTTTGCCTGGCGAATATTTATTGAACGTTTGCTAGTGAATGAGTTGCAAACGAACCAGCACCCCGATGGATTGCGAACGGTAGTCACCCAACTTCGCAATGTGGAATTACTGAGTAAAATGTATGTATTTCTTGTTGGTTGGATACCTTTGATATGTATTCCATTTTGCCTGTTCGCCGAGCTTGGCAATTTGTTTGCAAACGTTTCATCACCAGCCGAGGTGACATCATCAGTGCTTGTGAAGTGGCAGTGTTCTGTCTGTAACCGTTCGTTTATATATGCGATCTTCTCCATCGGCTATTTTCGCCCCCTGTTCTCGCTGTGTTCGACTCGGTCCGCCGTTGAACTGTTGCGAGCGGGTGGGGGTGGGAGGGGAGGAAGTTGTCCTTTCATCCCGATTACGGCTTTCGTTCGTTCTCAGGTCACGGCGTGACCTTTGTTGCGTCATTTGGTCCTTCAGTTGCATTGCCGTGTACACGTGATCCAGTTCGATGTGCCTGTTTATTGAGTTGGCTGAAGAGTGCCAGGCCTCGAGAAATTCTCTGGCGTGTTTTGACCGGGCTTGGTCGATAATTCTCACTGATTCGAAATCAAATTGATGTCCTTCTTGATCTTCGTGGAGGGAAATCAACGATAGTGGGTCATGCCTCCTGACTGCCGATTGGTGTTCACGGATCCTTGTTGACAGTTTTCTCCCAGTTTGTCCGATATAGTGTTTTGAACAGTTCTTGCAGTTTATTTTGTAGATCACGCTGCTCTTGTCCTTCTCCATTGTTCCCTCCTTGGGTTTTGACAGAAGTCCCCTTAGATAGGCGCTCGGT